GGGGAGGGGGAGGGAGGGTTGGAAATCAGTATTTTCTTGTCCTCTTTTTGTGTCACCTGTATTACCTTGTTTTGGGTTTTTTATAATGTGATTGGTTTGTTAGTTTATAATTGAAAAGATATTACAGGTTTTATTTAGCAATATTACGGAGTTAGGGGAAAGACAAACTTTCATTAAATATTATGAAAGAAAAACTGGCCTCATTTGCTCGTTGAAAAAAGGGAGCATTTTATTTCCTGTGGAGTCTCATGTTGTAGGAGTTATCTGTGGCTAGATTCTTAAATCATTTGCTTCAATGTGTGTGACAGCCACACGGTCTCCATGTTGTGCTGCTTTTTGTGAGAGAAGGTGGAAGAAACAATTTAACAGGGTATTGTTATAACATTGTCCAGTTCACTTTGTTTCTCCAAATTCTGCTTCACAGAAAACATCAGCAGGAACACACACTGGAGTGGATTTCCACTCCTTGATTTCCTTCTGTCATTTCAGTGTAAGGTTCAGTGTAAGTCAGGCTGTTTATTGCATTTCTGTATTTGTGAGCAAGAATGAAAGGAGTCCCAGTCTTCCTCCAAAGCAGCTGAGCTGGCCCCTGACTACCAGGCAGGAGCAGCTCTCCTCTCCCTGGCCCCAGGCAGTGTTGTTCTCCCTGGGTTCCAGGCAGAGCCCTGCGGGGTTCAGAGCAGGGTGGGCTTCACCCCACAGGACTGGGGTGTCCTGCGTAGCCTGGCCCCACGCCAGGGCCCCGTGTCCCAGGGCTGTTCAGAGCTGGGTGTGCTGTGTGTCCCTCGTGCCCCAGGGCAGTTCCTGCAGCCTGTCCCACTCCCAGTGCCTCTGCTGTCCCTGTAACCCGGCGGGCTGTGAGCTGGCAGGGGCACAGGGGCTGGCTCTGTGCCTCGTGCCCGGGGCACCCAGCAGCTCCTTCCCTGGCTGCCCCGTGCCCTGGCCACTCCTCAGCGTGCTTTATGTGCATTTCTGCACAAAACCAGCACCAGGGCCATGCACAGCGCTCTTCTCGCTCGGGTGATCCCCGGCAATTCCTGACTGAGGCACAGCATCTGCCAGGCCTTTACCTGCCTGGGGCTCTGAGCGTGGCCAGGGCCAGGTGCTGAGCACCCTTTGGGGTCACACCCTGCTGGCCCTGTCCTTGTGCTGTGCCGAGACATCCACCTTGTGTAATGGCCTGTTTCCTGTCAAGGGAATGTCTCCAGGATTCTGTCTCTTTCCAAACCTCTCTTCTTCCTAGAATTAGGACTGTCCTGCTAATGCTGAGACTAAATTCCAGGTGTGAAGAAATGGAGGAGAAACTCACCCCATGAACTTACAAGAACGTCTTGCTCTTCTCCCATCACCTCTAGGGGTTTTAATGTCTGTGGCACAGTGTGCATCTTGAGAAGTCCATTGCAGCAAACATGTCCGAGTCCTGACAACTTAAAAAAGGAGAGAGGGATCAAAAAGGATTTATATATTTTTTTGTACAGAGTTTTTTCTTAAACTGTATAATTTTGTAAATATTTTGCTTTTTTTGTGTACTAAAATTACCGGCGTATAGATTTCAATAAGAATTGTTGTATTTTTGTATTTGGAAAACGAAAATTACAGTGGATTAATTAAGCTGTAAGAAAAATTGCAGTAGCCTTCGACACACACAGAATGGATTCCTTTTCATATGGTTTTAGCTGTAAAGTGACGCTGGCGTGGCACGTGTGTCCGGGGTGAGGGAGCGAGGGCTGTCCCAGAGCTCCAGCCCTTTGCTGTTTGCCCCCACAGTACCCTGGCAGGCTGGCCCGAGGGCTGGCTGCCGTCCCAAGGGTGGCTGCTGCCGTCCCAAGGGTGGCTGCTGCCCCCAGGGCTGGCAGTGCCCCAGCCTGGCTGTGCCTGGGGGGCAGAGGGGCCACAGCTGGCGCCGGAGGAGGAGGAGGAGGAGGGGAGCTGTGTGAAACTGGGCTGCCTTTGCCAAAGCTCTGTTTTAGGGCGTGCTGGGCCTGTCCTGGGCTGGTTTGGTTTGGATTTCTGTGTTTCCACAGCCAGCAGGGCAGTACAGCTGAGTTCATTTCATGGTGATGCTTTACTGGGAAATTCACAGCCCCCAGGGGTACCTGTGTGCCCCAGCCACGTGTCCCAGCCTGAGCTGGGGGACAGGCACTGAAGGATGAGGGGATGGGAAAGGAAGTCACTGTGCAAAGAATTCCCTCCCTTTCCTTTTCAGGTGCTGAATTAACCTGAACAAAATAAACAAAACCACTCAGATCTGAAACCAGGCACCTGCTTAGGAAAGCACTCCTCTAACAAAATCATGTGAAAAGGAACAAAGCTCCTCTTGGTGTATAGTAACCTTGTACTATAGTTTTTACAGATTGTGACCTTGTGTAATAGGATAATAGCCGATATTGTTGAATTTCTAATTGTTTACACATTAAAATTCATATATGTAATGTTTGTTTTATTGATTACAAGCCAAATTTCTAAGATGCATGTTGACTTTTTTGCAATAAAGTTATAGTATGGAATGGTTCAAGATTTAGAAAAGACAAAATTCTAACTGAAATAAATGGGAAGGAGAACCATTCAAAAAAATTACAACTCTCAGAAAAAGAGCATTATCACTTCTTTGGGGGGAAGTGGGTGTGTGGAGGGGGATTTGTGTGTGTGTAATGTGTGTCATGTGTGTGTGGGTTTGGTTTAGGTCAGAGCTGAGAGAGAAATCTTCAAGTGCCTCAGTGTTCTGGAACAGAACAGGTTCAGACAGGTAAATGGATGGGGGAGGAGATGGGGTGGAGGGAGTCCAGTAAAGGCTGTTTCTGTTTTTCAAGGTTTAACAGAAGCTGGAGGAAGCTGTATGGTCCAGGGTGGGTTCCCAATCTCCTACAGGTTTTGCAGTGTTTTGGACGATTGGGTGCCAATCCTGGCGGGACACACCTGCCAGTCCTGACTCCCTTGCAGATTAGGGTGAAAGCTAATTATTACTCTATTATTACCTTTATTCTTGCTCTTTGGCCCTTTTGCCAGTTCCTGTTATTCCCTCCTGCAAGCCCTCCTTGTACCTGCTGTGTCCAGGTGTTGGAGGGTGATATAAAACCCATGTTTCTCTTCTGTGCTGCTGAAGAGCCTCTCCATGACAAACCTGTGGCTTTGAGACATCTCAGGGCCAGGAGTTAAACTTCAGAATCTGCCCCAGACCCTTTTTCTGTCCACAGCCAGCAACCAGCCTCGTTCTGCAGGAAGCAGCAATGTCCTTTAGGAGACAGATCCTGATGTGGTGCAGGAAAGGTTTAGTGGCCAAAGCACTTGCTGCTTCCCTATGCAATTAAAATTCATTTTAATGGAAAAAGGGTGTATAAAAAATTGGAAGGGGAGTAGCATTTGTGTGTGTGTGTGTGGCTTTGGATGTATTTTTTCCCCCAACCATTCCAAGTGTCATCTGAGAGTTGCCTGAGCACAGCAGCAGCATTGTAGGGTGGGACAGCTCTTTCCCCAGCCATGGGCCACAATCCTGCCCCTTGGAAAGCAGCAAATATCTACAGGAACAATTTGAAGGGATGAGTCACATAAAGGTAAATTGTTGGTGTAATTGTCAGGCCAAGAAATCTCTTTGTTGTCTCCAGTCGAGGCTGTATGGAATGCAGCACTAACTTCTGGAGAGGGTTCCCAAAGGTGGCAATCTAATTTTAACTCATCTCTGGAAATGTGGGACCCAGTTCTGTCCTCTGGAGCAGGTTGTGTAACATGTCTGGGCCTTTACTGATGAGAACACTGACACAAGGGGTGTTCAAAAGGGAAAAATAAGTTTGTCTGATGTTTCCCTGGAGATTTTTATATGCTTCTACCACTATTCCACGACAGACATACAGTTGTGATGATCAAAACCTAAATACATAAACTAGAGCACTTTCTCTCCCCAGGATCATTCCACAGGCAGTTTCCAATGACTGCTCAGTAATCTCGGGTAGGCTGATCCCTGTGGGATGCTGGGTGCAGGGAGCCAGGCAGGGAGAAGCAAGGCAGAGCTGACGGGGGGCAGGGTCAGGCCCCATGTGCCGCGTTGCCAGATGTCTCCTTCACCTGCAGCTTCCCCTTTTTCCCACCAAAAAATGAACAGGGCTTTTCACTACCTTTTCATGGCATCTGGAAAACACAGTTTTTGTCACAAACATCTCTTGGATTTGAAGTTCAAAAATAGGTTTTACCTGGTGAAGAGACTTCAGCCCAAGGAGAGCCCATGACAGCAGGGGCTGTCAGCACTCGGTGCCTCCGCTGGGGCAGAGGCGAGTGCCCGGGGCCAGAGGGGAGCCCCGAGCAGGAGCAGTGGCCCCTGTCAGCACAGAGGGGTGCCTGGCAGCACTCGGTGGCCCTGTGCCAGCTGTGGGTGGCGGGGGACAAGAGCCTCCATCGGGGTCACGTTCCCCGCAGAGCCGGGGCCAGGCTGGGCACTGCGGGACTGTCCTGGGCCCCAGGGACCAGCCCAGGGCACCAGCATCGCCCCAGCTCGGGGCATTGTCTGCTCTGCTGTCGTTCATCTTATTTTTGGGAGCCAAATTCCTTTTGTACCTCGTCTCTCTGAGCCTCGATGGTGTCGCGTGGCGCTGCTGGAGCAGCCCTGCGCCCCGTGACGTGGGAGTTAATTATAGCTCATCCTGCACCCAAAACCTTAAAGCACTCCTGCCAGTGATTTATTTAAACACTGATAAATTATACATTTCTTTGGTAATTCATGTGAAAATTACTTGGAGTCAACTCAACATGACATACCTCTGCGTGCTCTCTGGTGGCGAAAGCTCTGTCAGACAACACTTCCATCCCCTCTTCCCTTTTGCTGCTCCAGCTGACTTTGGGTTACCTGCGGGTCGCAGAGGAGCGCGGGGGACTCCTGGAACAGCCTCACTCCCAGCTGGTGTGGCACCCAAAGGGAGTTAACTCTGACTTTAAACAGTCTGAGCTGTCACTGGCTTTGGGAGCAGAC